GAGCAAAGCATTCTCTTTTCTCATGCTGTTTCTATACTGCTATGTGTCAAATTCTATCTCTATTTTACCAATAAAACCCCAGTGGCTTTAATTATTTCTCACTTGATTTACATTGACAGAAAGGAGATGCTTTTGGTATTTTAATTACCATAACTGAGAATTGACACATGAATATGTTTTCGCAAAAACCTCATTCCCATCCTCCCCCATTTAAACACCACATGAACTCACTAGGTAACCTACATTATAAGTTGCACTTGCACAGAATAACTAACAAAGACAGTTTCCACCCCAACACATCACAAAGAAATACACAACCCTCTCTTTAATGAGAAAACTTCAGTGTGTCACAATGCCTTGAAAGGAAAAAGACACTTGTAAGGAAAAAATCGTAATTGGTAGTGGGTCTCATACAGCCACATAAGAGCTCTAATCCAATCACTAAATAGCCATATGCTCTGTTCTAAGCACTCAGCCAGTTCCTTACCATTACTCTCCAGAAATAACTGTGCTTTGCAATTGCCCAGCTGGGCATTTAAAATGTTCCACAAAGGTCTGGTGCCATCCGTTTGGTGGAAAAGAACATCACATCTTCATGGTCCTTGCAAATTCATCCCATTTTTATTTTTGAGACCAAATGTTGAAATAGAGTAACAAAAGCAGTCCCAAAACTCTGAAAACATGAAGAACTGCGAAATGCCATTCTAGATATTTATAGGAAGCCCTAATGGAACTGGGAGAAATGTCACACATCTCCAGGTCTGCCTTCTAATTTCCTCACTTCAAGACAAAGATCTGTAATACATATAAAATGCACTCAAACTATTAAGCAACATTGACTTTCCAGTCTAAAACTGGGATCAGTATTCATTCCTTGCCCACACAGAAGGCCTCAGAGATGCAACAGGAAACAGACACCCATTCTTGGACTGAATGTCCTCTTCTCTTGGGGATTTAAAAAAGATCCCCTCCCAACCCCCAGCTCAAATGTTCTCTTTTATGAAGTGTATATCCCAGCAGTCCTAAAGCAAGGCTTGACTAAGAGACATGTAAGTATTAACCGATAATCATTTATGTGTTGTATGTTAGACTGTAGTCAAAAAATGAGAATAGCCCTAAAATAATAATAGCCTTGCTCACCCAATGGACTCAGTCCCCTACATTCACTGGATGGTGAGTGGGTGTCAAACCAGGCAATAAACAGTACTTGGCACCGTACTCTTCGGTCTTTGGAGGTACCTGCATCTTCTGTCAGCTGTACAAGGATCAGTAGTTAGACTGGGACAGCTGAAAAGGACTTCTGCTGCAGATCAAGTGTCTCTATGGACTCTGAGCATTTTCTTTTGTGGTATTGCCTTCTTTTAAACAAGTATCAGATTTTTGATACTTCAATTGAAATATGAAGAAAGGTATTTCATCAGCACTTAAAAATAAAAATATCCACGTGAAAGGAAATAAATTAAAAGCTGTCTCCTCTCCTCCAAACACACAGAAAACAAAATTGTCTTCAAATACTATAATTTTCACAACACGGTTCATCAATATTCTATCTGTACCTAGTGGCTAAAAATGTGACTGAAGAGTACAATAAGAACTCAGGAAGATCTGGCTGGATTAATTAAATCCCTATTTTTCATAAGGAGAATTTCTTATGTACTTCATATTTCAGATTTCCCAATATCAAATCCTCTCAGTCACAGTATGAACTTTGTAATGTATTTCAAGAGCACACTCCTGTGAACTTCACAGAAAAAATTTCTCTCATGTACTGTATGTACATATCACCCTGTCTGATCAGTCTGTAGCATGCAGACCTAGCATATTTGCCTATCTGCATATTTGCAAATGCAACTTGTATCCTCTCTGAAACTGCTATGAACAGAAGTATATTAGGAACCTTAGATTTGGCCTGTTTGCACAAAACTCAAAGTCATGCCAAGGCAAAGCAGGAAACTTGGAGCATTCTTCTCTTCAGGTCTAGTTAATAGGATTGTTTTTACAGAACAAAAGAACAAAGCATAAATATTTAATTCTTATGACACACAAACACTGTATTGTTTTCCTGTTGGTATGGATAACGCTCCTGTTCATATTGTTATTGCTATACAATTAGATTAATGTAAGCACAGCATGCCACCTCTGCACTTGAGGAGCTAGCGAAGATAAGAGGCGTTTCTCAGCTTTAGCAAGGGTGGGAATACTCTGTGTCAAGGAAGAAGCACATAATGCGTTATTTTCTCACAAAGTCAGGTCACAGAGTACAGTTCAGCTGTTCACTGGGACAAAATACCCATTATTTGCAAGACTTTAAATCAGCAACACAATTCTTAAAACTGATTTTATTCTTATTGGTATTATTTTATAAATAAATAATGTGAATTAGTATTTAATTGTTTCAACCTGAGATTTTAATTTTTCACCTATCAGTATGGGAAATTTCTTGGCAGCCCTGGAGGCTGTGTGAAAATTAAATTTTTTGTTTAATTATAAATTGGTTTTGCTGTAATGGTCGAGGCTTTAATTGAAATATTTTAATTAAGTGCTTGAAGCAACACAATGCCAGGTTTTTGCTGGAGACCAGCTTATCTAACAGTCTGGAGTTTCACATTCACTCAGCTCCTGTGCTGAGCATACAGACAGCTACAGAATCAATTGTAACTGCTGCTCCCACCTGGCTAATGGCATGCAAAAAGACAAACAGCGAGTACATTCAACTACACACCTTAGACCATGTTAATAATTTGGGCAGTAAAAGGTGGTAGTTAAGACTGTTTAAAAACAATTAGAACGAGTTAAAGAAAGATAACAGCAGTAGCATCTTGTTCAAAATGTGTTGTGATCTGCACAGATATACCTCCTGCCTCCTGGCAGCCCTCCCAGGAGGAACAAGTGGCGGACAGGGCTATCAGGTTGCTCTCCGATGACAGCCAGGCCATGGCAAAATGTACATTCCAGCAGGGAATGCGGCTCTCTTCTTCTCCAGACAGAACATCAAGATTGAAAGCACTTGGAGGGTTCATAAATAGCAATGTCAACACTATTAAGATTTCAGGAGTGTGGAGAGGGGGGAAAGGTTCGATTGCTTTTTAACAGATTAATTTCCACATTTGAACATTTCAGAAACAACACGATCTGTCTCTGGTGCCCCTTCTGATGACACTAACAAAGAAATGGGATCTCAAAGTACAGAGGAAACTAATAACAGCAGCAGCAGAATTTCAAACTTGTAAAACACTATTTATCCAAAAAGTCTGAAGCATTCTGGAAAGAGACATCAGGCAGGTGCTGTTTCCTGAATACATGGGCAAGAGTGGCAAAACAGTAACACCGATCACCTGCACCAAATCGATCTGCAAACATCCGTGTGGCTGCTCTGAGAAGTAAGCTGTAAACCATTTTATCTGTTAGCATTGTGTTGGGTAAAAGACCCAAGCCTCTGAAGTTTTCAAGCACTAACAACTATGGAAACAACCCCTGCAACATAACAAATGGGTTAAAAACATACATACTTTGTTGCAGATCACATCAA